TCTTCCGTTCCAAACAGGAAGAAAGGGAAGCACAGAGTGGTTGAGAAACATTCTTGGGAGTCACCCAGCCAGCCAGAGGACAGCAGCCCCACTCTGGTGGCTAGGAGGCCCAGAGGGCAGGGATGCCCCAGGTGAAGGCCACCTGGCCATTCTCTAATAGCATTCTCAGGAATGCTATTTAGAGCAGGGATTCACAGACTCACCTGATAACAAGGGTCATTTAGCAAAGAATCCAAACTCGTCACCCTCACCGAGTGAGCACAGGGTCCCAGATCTAACTTTGGGGACAGCCATGTTTAGGAAAAGTTTCTCTGGACACCACCCGGGAGATCTGTGCACCTTTGCTGTTGCTTTGTTGGCTCTACAGGGGCGTAAAATAAGTGCTCAATCAGTGCTTGCTAAACTCCCTGGTCAGTCATCTTAGCCCCGGCTTTAATCACCAGGCACGAGAGTGGCTGAACTGTCTGCACCCTAGCACAGCCATTCCTTTGGTAGCTGTTCCCATCTCTCCGCCTCTACTCTCTGATGTGTGAGCCCCTCTCATAACCCCAAAGCCCAGGCAGAGCTCCTAAATGGTTTCTTGGAACCCAGCAAGGGAATGCTGACCAGGAGCTGACATTCTGATGGCTGATAAGAAGAAGGAAGGTCAGAAGGAGGCTGGCCCCTTCCAAGCAGGGCGGGTCCAGCCTGCTGATGACTCAGGTTGTCTGATTGGAGCTCAGTGGCCTGGGCAGGGCCTGTTCTGCTACCTCCTGGGGACTGAGACAGTCCTCCAGCACAAGTAAAGGAGGCCCGGAGGCCCGTTACTGCTCCCCCTCCCCCCCCCCCCCTTTTTTTTCTCTTTGGCAGCGGCTGCTCTCCTGACAAGGTAAGTTCTAGATATCTCTGCTGGGTGGGCCCTGGGAGAGACCTACAATCTGCTCACCTGTGGAGTTGCGCTCGGGCTGGTGAACACTTGAACAGGTCTGGTCTGGAGCAGCAGGGAGGACAGCAGCAGGTGGATGTGGTCAAGGAAAGGGACCCTGGTATTCTCCAGTCTGAAAAGTAGGTGAAACTGGGCCCTGTCAGGGCTGACAAGAGATATGACCACAGAGGGTGTGGTCTCCCCGAGACACTACCAGGACACAAGGATAGTCCTGCTGTGTGAGTCTGTTGGCCTTTGGATTCTAAGGCTGGCCTGGGCTGGTGAGTGTATGGACTTTGTACAGAAGCTGAGGAAGCCAGCTCAGGCCCTAGAGAATGGGGTAGGCCTCCTTAAAATGTGTTTGTTCGTGGGTACTGTAAGCCCAGGGATGCCCCCCTCTTTCCCCACCCCCAGGCCTGGGAAGACTGGAGCCTGTGTGGCCTATGTGCATTTTGTTCTAGCAGGGTGGCCCCAGCAGAAATTGTTCATGGTGAAGGGTGTGTCTCTCCAGCAACCCAGCAGAGTGGAGTCTCAAATTCCACAAATTTGAACAAGGTGCTAGTACAGAATCCTGCCTCAGTTTCCCTTGGTGCTTCAGGATAGTAGGAGAGCCCTAGGCTCTGCCCCAGGCTTCTGTAGTTAACAGCATGAGAAGGTGTGGCCCAAAGCCACGTGCAGGCTGGACTGTAAGAGGGCTGGGGTGTGACTCTGAGTAGAATCTTCAGCAGGACCCCATTCACTGTGCCCATCTCAGTTCTTCTGTCATTTGCCCTCCATATGCATCTAGCCTTGTCCTCTGGCCAGGACTCATAGACTTCAGTATTCAGAACTTGTCAGATGAAGGCAGGACAGAGAGTCCCCGAACAGCCCTCTGTCTCTTGTTGTTGGTGTCTCTTGTTAGGGTGGTGAAAGGTGGTGCTGGAGTATTGGTGCTTCTATTTCTGTGATAAACGCCAGGACCAAAACAGCTCCTGGAGGAAAGGCATCTTAAAACTTGTAGTCCATCATGCAGGGAAGCCCAGGCAGACACTGTCACAGAGGCCATGGAGAAATGCTGTTTTTTTTTTTTTTTTTTTTTCTTTTCTTTTTTGAGACAAGGTCTCGCTAGGTAGCTCTGGCTGTCCTAGAACTCACTCCGTAGACCAGGCTGGCCTTGAACTCACAGAGATCTGCTTGCCTCTACCTCCTGTGTGCTGGGATAAAAGGTCTGTGCTGTCACACCCATCCTGCTTTTTCTTTTTTCTTTTTTAAAATTGAATCTCACCATGTCCCCTTGCAGGCCTGGAATTCAGTATGTAGACCATGCTGGCCTCCAACTCACAGAGATCTACCTGACTCTGCCTCTCATGTTCTGGGATTAAAGGTATATGCCACCACGTCTAACCAGTTTGCTTTTTTAAATGTCCTAGGACCACCTGCCAAGACCTGGTACCACCCACATCAATAATTACTCAAGAAAATGCTCCACAGAGTTGCCTACAGGCCAATCTCATGGGGAAATTTTCTCAATTGAGGTTCCATCTTCCCAGATGACATTAGCTTATGTTAAACTGACAAAAAAGTGACCATCAACTCAGGATCTAATGCAGATGTTAGTTCAGTTGGAGGTCTCACCACAGTCAAATCCCCATTCTGTCCCAGGACCACCCCCACATATTTGTAACCCACTGGACTGGGGGACATGTCCTCTTGATTTGTATATCCACTGAGGCTCATTTTTTGTGCCGTGACGGTCAGCATCTCCTGAGAATGCCACGGTTCCACACCCACCTTCCCAATGGCATTAAACGGTTTCATTCCAAAGTCCCCTGAGCTCCCCTGTGACAGACAGCCCCTCTGCTGGCCCCACGCTCTGTATCCTAGGTTGGTCTTCTCTTTTCCCGTGCAGAGGAGTGGAGTGTGCTTGAGTGCCCACGTGGCCCGAGACTGCTTCCTGCCCCATGTGTCTCCAGGGCGTGCCTCCTGGGTAGACAGGGAAAGCCCTGGTTCTTTATCATTGCACTTGCTATGCAGTGTGGGAGGGCGTGTGACTTACTCTGACACCCAGGCTGTTTCCAAGGTGCTGGTGTTGTAAACAGCTGGATTGGCACCTGTCCCCACACCAAAGGCAGCAATCTGAAAACGAGTACCCAGGAATGGGGCTGCTGGCCAAAGGTGAATGCGATTGTGATTGCAAGTGTTGGTGACCTAGTGGCACTCTGAGCTTGGCTGCCTGCCAAGGATGTCAGTGTTGCTGATCTAACCTTGGAGGTAACAAAGAGAGTCTTGGGGTCAGTCGACATCATGTCATGTTTTAAGGTACTAGATAGGAATGGGGAAGTCAGTCCCCTTTTGTTGGCTCAATTGTCGGTGTCTGGTGAGGTCTGTTACCCACCTAGTTTCTTGTCCCCACTGTGGGCCGCAGAACCAAGTCCTTCCCTTGGAGTGAAAGAGAACTGGGGCTGGCATTGCAGATGCTTCTCATCAAGGTGTCTGCTTGCCTCCACCTCACTCCTGCTTGTCCACCTTGAGGCTCACATCGCCCAGCACTCTGACACCCACCCAGCCTCCAAGACTGTGCTCACGTGTCACTGGGTTGAGTCCTAGAAGCCCTTCCTCCCTGCTGAGCAGGGTGGCCGTACCCACTTGTCCACTTGTGTTTGTAGCATTGGACAATGAACTTCCAGGACTCTGCTTTTGGCCCTCCCTTTGCTAGCCATGAGTCTGTGTGGTAACGTGTCTCTGGTCCCCTCTGCACTGTCCTGGGGAGGTCCCGTGTCGTGCACTTAGGGAATAATTTTCAGATCTCTTGCTGTAGATGTGGGAGGGAGGGAGAGGAGGGGAGGAACATAAATTTGAGGAATGCACCGGGTGGCGGGGGCCTTTTCTCCCCCATTTACTTAGTGTCATAGTTACTTTTTGATTGCCATGAAGAGACACCATGATCAAGGTAAATCACAAATGAAAGCATTTAATTGTGGGCTTGCTTACACTGTCAGAGGGTTAAGTCAATGGCAGTCATGGCAGGGAACATGGGGGCAAACCCGCAGGCATGGCATCGAGTATAGCTGAGAGCTGACATCCTGATCCACAGGCAGGAGGCAGGGAGGGCGTGACACTGGGCCTGGTGTGGGCTTTTGAAACCTCAAAGCCACCCTCCTTGACCCTTTTCAAGGCCACACCTCCTAATCCTTCCTAAACAGTCCACCAAGAAGGGACCAAACATTGAAATATAAGCCTATGGCCTGGCAGCAGTGGCACATACCTTTAATCCCAGCACTTGGGAGGTAGGTGGAGTTCAAGGCCAGCCTGGTCTACAGAGTGCTTTTCCAAGACTGACAAGATAACATGGGCATGTCTCAGAAATTAAAAACAAAAAACAACCAAAACCAACTAGCAAACAACCCCCCTACCCAAATCATACGTATAAACCATTCTTATTCAAAACACCACACTTAGCTAGCCTGCCTTGTTTACAACAGGTTGGACTTAGGGCATTACCTTACACCTTGTGTATTAATCATGTTTTTTTTTTTAGAGGAATAGAACTAATAGAATGAATATAAAATGTTCAATGTTATATATATATGACTATATATTATATGTATGCATAGTCATATATGATTTATTATATGGTTTACTGTCTGTGATCCAGCTAGTCCAACAATTTCTGTCCACATGGCTGGATGTCTCAACATTTTCAGTATTAGCTGGAATCCCAAAGAATTCGGCTCCAATGCCAGTGAAGGAATGGGCTTGCCAGAGAGAGGGAGAGCAAGCTTCCTTCTTCCATGTCCTTAGTTAGGTAGCCAGCAGAAGATGTGGCCCAGATTAAAGGTGGGTCTTCCCATCTCAAAAGATCTGGATTAGAGGTGGGTCTTCCCACTTCAGATGACTTAATTAAGAAAAAAAACAATTCTCACATGTGACCCTAGCCACTTGGGTTTTAGCTGACAACCGAGAACAGGTATCACACCTTGGGTTACCATCCAGCGCTTCTTCATTTCCTGGCTCAAAGTGCTCTAGCCGAGTCCATTGGAACTTCTTTCAGTTAGTTCTTGTGTCTTATCACAGTGGGGACCTACTGAGCTACCAATCATCCTTCCTTCCTTCCTCCCTCCCTTTCCTTTCTTCTTTCCTTCCTTCCTTCCTTCCCTTCCCTTCCTTCTTTCTTTCCTCCCTTCCTTCCTTCCTCCCTCCCTCCCTTTCCTTTCTTCTTTCCTTCCTTCCTTCCTCCCTCCCTCTTTTCCTTCCTTCCTCCCTCCCTTTCCTTTCTTCTTTCCTTCTTTTCTTCCTTCCTCCCTCCCTCCCTTTCCTTTCTTCTTTCCTTCCCTCACTCCCTCCCTTCCTTCCTCCCTCCCTCCCTTCCTTCCTTCCTTTCTCTTTCTTTCTTTCTTTCCTTCTTTCTTTCTTTCTTTCTTTCTTTCTTTCTTTCTCTCTCTCTTTCTTTTTTCTTTCTTTATTTCTCTCTCTTTCTTTCTTTCCACCTTTCTATCTATCTGCCTATCTGTTTATCTACCTATCCATGGTTGATTATCAGTCCAGCAATTGTACCCTCTGACTTCCTGGCCCCAACAGCCACTCCACGCCCATCTGTATATTTCCCACCCTTCCAGAAAATGTATTTAGGCACATTTCATGAGCCACAGCTGTCTGGGCACTTTCCACCCATCTGCAATCAAGATTTAGTCACTTGATGCCCTGGCCCTCTGCCTGCCCTGTCCCAGCCTTGGGGATAGAGCCATTTTGTCTGTCTGGCCCCTGTAGTTATCATTGCCACTTGACTATGAGCTCCAGTGTGTGGTGTAGGCTATATCTATATCAGCTATATCTCCTATGCTCAGCACTGGTCTATCTCCTCCACTCTTGCCCCTGCTGAAATATGACAGTAGGGATAATGGCTTTCTTTGTAGTCCTCTCCTTTGTGCCTCAGACCTGGAGGCTGAGTTGGACGTAGCTACCCAGAAGACTCACCTAACTGTTGA